AGTCTGGGTAGTGATCACAAACGTATCAATCTAAGTTTCGGAAGAGCAGCGAAAGTGGGAAGGAGACAGGATGAGCAACTACAGGAAAATTTTCATTCAGAAGGGCAAATAGAAATTGCTACTAAACAAATTCAGAAAGTAATCACTGAGGATAATAAAAATGTGTCGACATACACAAATCTAGTTAGACTGTTTGGGCTACAGCTTGCTAAGGCACGTGACAAGTCATTCCGGAAAAGAAGACACAAGCCCAGGAATGAGGAAGTTAAGAGAGCCGTAGCAAAACGTCAGGAAGCCTCTAGGGAACAGAGACATGCTAAGCAACGGGGTGAACCGACAGATGATGTTGAAAGAAAATGGGAAATCTTTCTAAGCTATAAAAGGGAAGCATCCCTCCTAATCAATGAAAAAGATTCGAAATAGGGTATTCAGTTGCTGGAAGAAGTACATAAAAAGGACAGAAAGGCAGCTGCGAAATTTTGGAACCATCTTCACTCCCTAAGAAATGAAACAAACCTAAAGCAGAGGTTTATAACTACAGCTGAAGGTGCTAGGCTATAAGGGGACGAATCTATGGGATATATAAGAACAAGGATGACAGAAAAATTTCAACAGAGTGCCTTATGCACCACAATGAACAGGGATGGATCAAGTGGCACAATGGCTCCATTTTCACAACGAGAGTGGGAAAGGGCTGAGAAGAGAGTTCCAAGTAGTACATCAACAGGCCCAGACGGCATTCCAATTATGCTGATAAAAACATTGGGTGCGAAGTCTAAACAAGCTTTGAGAGAGGCAGTGAGCAGAACTATAATCGATGAAGTTTCTGATGGATGGAAACTTAGCAGGATGAGCATGGTTTACAAAGAAAAGGGGGACAAAGATGACATAAACAACTACCGTCCCATAACAGTGACATCAGCGGTCTACAGGCTGGCGATACAGATTATAAAGGAAAGACTGCTGGCATGGATAGAGGATGAGGGGGTGCTGGGGGAACTGCAGTATGGGTTTCGGAAACACAAGAGGTTGGAAGACAATCTGTTCTCACTGACGCAGTGCATCAAAAAAGCAGAAAAGGAACTCAGGCCCCTGTGGTTAGCATTTTTGGATATCAAGGAAGCGTACGATAGCGTGGTTCAAGAGGACTTGTGGGGTATACTAGACACACTGGGTGTGGAAGATGGATTCACTAATCTTTTAAAGGAAATCTGTAAAAGTAACAAGGTAGTTATAAAGTGGGAAAAACAGGTATCCAAGCCTGCAGAGGTAAACGGGGGCTTACGCAGGGGTGTCTCCTGTCACCCTTATTATTCATGATGTACCTACAAGGATTAGAGGCCAAACTAGAGGGAAGTGGACTGGGCTTCAACCTTTCTTTCGTCAAACAAGTAAAACTCATTGAACAGGTATACTACCAGCATGGATGTACGCAGATGATATACCGCTAATGGCCGACAACAAGGAAGATTTGCAGAGATGGTGGACATCTGCGGTAATGAGGGAGATAGGTTAGATTTCAGATTCAGTAAGGAAAAATCAGCAGTCATGATTTTTAATGACAATGAAGGTAGTGAGCTTAGAATACAGGAGGTCACGCTAGAGATAACAGATAAATACAAATATTTGGGCGTAGGGATAAGCAATGGGGCCGAGTACCTAAGGGAACACGAAATATACGTGACGACTAAAGGTAACAGGAATGCAGCGGTAATGAAAAACAGGGCACTGTGGAATTACAATAGGTATGATGTTGTGAGAGGAATATGAAAAAGAGGTCACGGTTCCTGGTATGACGTTCGGCAATGCGGTCTTGTGCATGAGATCAGAAGTTCAACCAAGATTAGAAATTAAGCAACGTGGAATAGGTAGGCTTGCTTTAGGAGCTCACGGAAATACACCAAATCAGGGAGTACAAGGTGATATGGGATGGACATCATTTGAGGGCAGGGAAGCCAGCAACAAGATAAAATTTGAGAAGCTATTGAGAGAAATGGGGGAAGAGCGTTGGGCTAGGAAGGTTTTCAGCTACTTGTACATGAAGAATGTCGATACAAAATGTTGGAAGCGAACCAGGAAGTTGACTGGTAAATACTTAGAAAACAGCAGGTGGCCAAACCAAAAAGAACTATCGGTTAAGAAGAAAGTGAAGGAAACGGAGACTGACATGTGGAGAATGGGCATGATTAAGAAGTCCGCACTAGAGATCTATCGAACTTTTAAGCAGGAAATTGCCAAGGAAAGAATCTATGATAATACTCGGGTATAGTTCTCTACTGTTTGAGGCCAGGACGGGAGTTCTGCGAACCAAGACATATCGGGCCAAATACGAAGGGGTAGACACAGTATGCAGTGCGTGTGGAGAGGAAGAAGAAACTGCCGAACACTTGATAATGTTCTGTAAAGGTATTCACCCTATAGTTCAGGATGATGGCGCAGAGTTTTTCAAAGCACTGCGGTTTAGGGACAGGAAGGGCAAAACAGACTTTAAGCGGGTAGACCTAACTAGAAGGTGGTTATCTGATTGGTGGCTAAAGTGAAGGCACGAGTTAAAATTAAATCCTTCGCTGTAAAGTACCCGTCCAACTTTACTATTTAAAGGGAAAAAAAGATAAATTTAGTGGTTAGTTCACTAAGTATTACGGCTAGGGGTCGTTAGCCGCCGCCCAATCTAAAGGGTACAGCCACATATATCCATCTATCCATCCATGCACGAACGCGCGAAATTCCTCTCGTCCTGTTGCTGCCGGAGCCTCGCCACGTTTAAAATCAAAGTGACAGCTGCCATTTGATTTACTGGGAAGTTCGACGGCGCCTAATGTACACTGGAACAACCTGACATGTTAAAAGCTAAGTGGCAATGCAAATAAAGGAAGTGTATTGTGCCGCTATGTCAAAGAAGTTATCGGTCGAACAAGGAAAAAGTGTCTTGCTCCCCGCACTAACGGATCAAGCATGGTTTTCTGAATGAAAAAGCAGGATCAAGAGGGCAGACAGAAGGCCGAAGCCGAAGGCTGCCGTGTGAGAAAAGCATTCTTAGAGTGACTGCATCGAACTATCTTTCTGGATTAGGTTGAACGGTGTCGGGAACGAAATCGCCGTATAGTGATAATTTCAAATATCAATATTTACCTAAAAAATTGAAAATACCCTTTCAAATTTCATTCACACTTTTTTCCTCATTTCAACGTCGGACTCCCTTTCCAACAACGTATTCAGTATCATATGCGGCGAGGGTCAGATTGTTCATTGGCATGTTATCCTTCTTTGTTTTCCTCGAATCCTAATGAAATGCAGGCTAAGAGGTAAAGGTTTTTGGGTCTTCTGTGAGAATCCCTGCTCTCTAGAACAAAGCGCATTATTAAAAATAACTGTGGTGTTTAAACTGTCAATGGTTTTCAAAATTAATTTCTTTGCATACTGCAACCACTTTGAGCACCTATCTATCTATCTATCTATCTATCTATCTATCTATCTATCTATCTATCTATCTATCTATCTATCTATCTATCTATCTATCTATCTATCTATCTATCTATCTATCTATCTATCTATCTATCTATCTATCTATCTATCTATCTATCTATCTATCTATCTATCTATCTATCTATCTATCTATCTGTCTGTCTGTCTGTCTGTCTGTCTGTCTGTCTGTCTGTCTGTCTGTCTGTCTGTCTGTCTGTCTGTCTGTCTGTCTGTCTGTCTGTCTGTCTGTCTGTCTGTGTATCTATCTGCCTGTCCGTTTATCTTTCTGTCTGTCCATCCATCCGTCCGTCCGTCTGCCCAACCGTTCGTGTGTCTGTCTGTTTATCTATCTATCTATCTATCTATCTATCTATCTATCTATCTATCTATCTATCTATCTATCTATCTATCTATCTATCTATCTATCTATCTATCTATCTATCTATCTATCTATCTATCTATCGTCTACGTCTGGGTGCCCTCACGATTACCCACATAACTTAGGGTAAACCAAAATTAGTGTGGGCAGGTAAGATGGTTTGATGATTATGACTCGCTGGTCCTTACATGAATGATTTCACAATTGCGCCACGAACGCCATCAAACTCTTCTCACCACATCTTTTTTAACGTTTGAGCGTTAAGCTGGCATTGGCAACATTGACCCTATGAATTCAAATAATAAATGTTTGCGTCCTAGCAGAGGAATTGAAGCCAAGCAATCTGTGTGGAAACCAAGTATTCTACTACAGAACCACGCCAGGTCTTCGAAATACACTGCAAGAAGAGCCAAATGTTCGTGAAACGCCAATGCTGGTTCCAGCGTTGACTATCCAATCTCTCGCATATATTTAGCGCCAATTCGTGATGTTTCGCCTAATAAAAGATTACAACAGAGTCACCTTCCATCAGCATGCTTTGCATAGCATTGATTCGCAAGTTACGTGGGATCTGCTTCTCTTTTTTTTTTTTTGCGGGCAGTAGCGGATGGCGAAATGTTTGCCACGAAATGATCTTCATTTGGTATTGCAAAGCGCCAATACTGTGAAAGCAATCGAGTAGTTCTTATACAATAAAACATCAGGTAAAAACACTCCGTAAATGCAGGAAAATAGTTGGCTTCGCCCGGCTCCGCCTCCTGAAAGCTTCGCAGCGCTTGCGTAGTGCAAATTTGAACGCAAATGCACCCACTCGCACAGCAGCGCACCATGTGGTCGCCGCCGGCAGTCATCAGCTGCGGGGCTATCTCCTAGCCTGCGCTTAGCACACTAGACAGTATATTTCTAGACACTGTAGTCCTACGTTGGGTAAAATAAGTGGAACAAATAGTGAGCATACGAGTAATCCGCGTGTCGTTAAGCGTTCTATGCACGTGGAAAAACTCAATTTGACAGCATTAGATGCAGGCGTATTCTACTGTAGAATGTGAAGCATTAAACAAACGTAGCCAAGTAAGGTGTCTCTAAATAATGGTGATTGAATCACAGCTGCACCCAAGCTCTGAAGAGAAGGCTAAGAACTGTTCTTCGTTCGCAGGAGGTTATGAAAAGTCTTGTGTGGCGTTATGTGACCAGCGAGCAGAGTAAGAACGAGCAGGCACCCGTCACCGAGGACGATGTGAACGAGCTCAAGCAGCAGATCACCTCCTTCCGGTACGACTTGCTCGACGTGCTCAAGGACAACGGCATGAAGATCAACAAAGTACAGCGCAAGAGAGCCGAAGGTGGGCACAGATTGTGTACAAGCAACGATACATTCAAACGTCACGCTAAAATTTCTTCATGCGAGGAGAACAGTCGTTCAGTTAACCAGAATTGCTAGTAGAAGCTCACTATAACCAGGTATACCTTTGGGAGACCCACAACATCGTTCGTTATACCCGATAATCATCGTAACAGGACAAACGAATTTCCTCGAGCGTGTACTAAGGTCTTCAATATAAAAGCGCGTTATTCTAAAAATCAAGCCCACTCTAAATTTGGTAATTGCTGCATATTCTTAAAATTTGTTTCTCTTCTCCTATACACGTGACAGTGACATGTGAAGCACGCTCTATTTAGGCCGTTTAGGAGAGTCATGCCGCGCACGACTTTCCAAAGGAGAGTAAATGTAAAGTTCTCAAGTTAAAGGGAGCACACTCTAAATTTTAGGGCTTCTTTGTTAGACACGGCATCAATGAGAACAAACCGACAATTCTGCCACAGAAGAAGTTGGGGATGTGTTTAGTTGCAATCGTGATGTGAGTGGGAGATGATATAGACTCCAACCAAAAGTTTTGAAGAAAGCCGACGTTTCGGAACCGACTTGGTTCCTTCCTCAGGGGTGACTGCGGAGGCTACGTAGCAGCGGCGTCTTCAAAGCACTCTATAGGTGGCTAATGACTCTCTCTCTCTCTCCCATTTTGCGGTGGAGCGCAGTCCGTGTGTGTACACTGGAGAAAGGGTTTCGAGAGAGCGGCTGATGTCATGGGCTGTTATCTGTATGTGCCACGACTCGAGTAACAATTTTCTCCTCTAGTTCGGCTCGCTTTCGAGGATGGCCATCGCTTTTAGATTTATCTTGTGATCCAATGCCTCACATGTTCGGCGACTGTGCTGCGCTCTTTGTAGAACATTCACACATCGTTGGCGTGTTGCTTCAGTCGTTCCGGTAGGTTTTTCGTCTCGCCGATATACGACGCGGGGCACTCGGTGCACGAAATTTTGTAAACGACACCGGGGCTCCTGTCCATTGTTGGCCGGTCTTTCGGGCGGGGGAGGAGGCGGCCCAGCGTACACGAAGGCACGTGCGCGATGCGAACCCCTTCTTTCCTGAAAATACGCGGCAACATCTCGCTGGTTCTCTGAACGTATGGAACTGGTACACGTTTCGGGGGCCTGCCAATTAATGTTGATTGGGGTTTCCCTATCTCCTGTTGCTCTGCGCAGCGGGTGGCACCTCGTATGAAGTTTTTGGGTATCCGTTTTTTTCTGAGGTCAACAATTATGCGGGCCTCTTCTTTCTTTCGCTCTGTGTCATTAGAGCATAGGTACCTGGCTCTCTCGAGTAGCGTGGTCACAACCGAGGCCTTGTGGCAGGCGGGGTGGGAAGAATCGAAGGTAGCGGCCAGTGGGCGTTGGCTTCATATGAACGGAGAACTCCAGGCTGTGGCGCTTTCTAGCCACCTGGATGTAGAGAAAGGGCAAGAAGTGGTCGCTTTCACGCTCGGTCGTGCATTGTATGGCTGGGTGCACGGAATTCAGGTGTTGTCTGAAGTTTTCAACTTCAGACGCTTTAATGACACAAAAGCAATCATTCATATATAACGCAGAAAAAGCTTGAGTCACGGCGAGAAGGAGCTGAGTGCTTTCTCTTTGTACTCCATGGTCGGGTTTGCCATCGTGACGGAGAAGAAAGCTCCCATCGCTGTTCGACTGTTGTGCCTGAAAATAGTTCCTTTGTGGGAGAAGTGCGTACTGGAGAGGCAGAACTTCAGTAGACGACAGAGGTCGTCGACCGCCAAAGGAGTCCTTTCACTCACGCTTGCGTCGTCCTCAAGCGCAAAACGGGCAGCGGAGACAGCTAAGGTAACTCGCACGTTGGTGAACAATCGGAAACGACGTCAAATGAAACCATGCTCTCGTCATCACCGATGCTCACATCTGACGCTAGCTGCACGAAGTGACAGCTTCACGGACATGAGTTGGTGTCTTCCGGGTTAGTGGGTGAAGATTTGGCGTAGAAAATTTGAAAGCCCTCGGCATGGGGAGGAAGTGAGGTCTACAAGCGGTCGGAGGGGAACGTTAGGCTTGGTAATTTTCGGTAGTCCATAAAAACTCGGTGCGGATCTGTTATGGCAGATTAGTCGCAGGTAAAGTGTTCTCAGATCTGGGTAAAGCATTAGCCAGATCTCAGAACACTTTACCTGCGACTAATCTGCCCTAAAGGATTACCCAGATCTCAGAACACTTTACCTGTGACTAATCTGCCGTAACAGAACAGCACCAAATTTTTATGAACTACCGAAAATTCACAAGCCTGACGACCCCCTCCGACCGATTGTAGACTTCACTTCCTCCCCATGCCGAGCCTTTTCAAATTTTTTACGCCAAATCTTCGCTCTACTAACCCAGAAAACAACAACTCATGTCCATGACGTCATCCACTTCATGCAGCTAGTGTCAGATGTGAGCATCGGTGATGACGAGAGCATGGTTTCATTTGACGTCGTTTCATTGTTCACCAACACGCCAGTTCCCTTAGCTGTCTCCGCTGCCCGTTCAGCGCTTAAGGAGGACGCTAGCCTGTGTGAAAGGACTCCTTTGGCAATTGACGAGCTCTATCGTCTACTGCAGTTCTGCCTCTCCAGTACGTACTTCTCCTACATAGGAACTACTTTCAGGCAGAACAGTGGAACCACGATGGGAGCTTCGATATCCATCACGATGGCAAACATGACACATGAAGTACACAGTAGAAAAGAAAATACTCAGCTCCTTCTCGTCGTGACCCAAGCTTTTTCTGTGTTATATGAACGATTGTTTTTGCGTCATTAAGACGTCGGAAATCGAAAACTTCAGACAACACCTGAATTCCGTGCACCCAGCCATACAATTCATAACCGAGTTTGAAAGCGACCACTGCCTGCCCTTTCTTGACGTGCAGGTGGCAAGAAAGCGCTACGGCTTGGAATTCTCCGTTCATGGGAACCCAACGCACACTGGCCGCTACCTTCAATTCGATTCTTCCCACCCCGCCTGCCACAAGGCCTCGGTTGTGACCACGCTACTCGAGAGAGCCAGGAACTTATGCTCTAATGACACAGAGTGAAAGAAAGATGAAGAGGCCCGCTTGATTGCTGACCTTAGAAAAAACAAATAACGAAAAAGCTTCATTCGAGCCGCAACCCGCCGCGCAGAGCTACAGAAGATAGGGATACGCCAATCAACCTTAATTGGCAGCCCCCCGGAAAGCGTACTGGTTCCATACGTTCAGGGAACCAGCGAGATATTGGCGCGGATCTTCAGGAAAAAAGGGGTTCGCATCGCGCACGTGCCCTCGTGTACGCTGGGCCACCTCCTTCCCCACCAGAAAGACCGACCAACAATTAACAGGAGCCCCGGTGTCGGTTACAAAATTCCGTGCGCCGAGTGCCCCGCGTCGCATATCGGTGAGACGAAAAACCTACTGGAACGACTGAAGCAACACGCCAACGATGTGTGGATGTTCTACAAAGAGCGCAGCACAGTCGCCGAACATGCTGAGATATTGGATCACCAGATAAATTCCGAAGCGACGGCCATCCTCGAAAGCGAACAGAACTGGAGGAGAAGGTTGTTATTCGAGTCGTGGCACATACAGAAAACAGCCCATAACATCAACCGCACTCTCGGAACCCTTCCCCGAGTGTACACACACGCATTGCGCTCCACAGCAAAATGGGAGAGAGAGAGAGAGAGAGAGAGAGAGAGGGGGTCATTAGCCACCTATCGAGTGCTTTGAAGACGCCGCTGCTACGTAGCCTCCGCAGTCACCCCTGAGGAAGGAACCAAGTCGGTTCCGAAATGGCGGGTTTTTTCAAACTTTTGGTTGGAGTCTGTATAATCTCCCAGCTTCATACCCAACCAGACAGACTTCTGTCGAATGTTTATATTCAAGTCAATTGTGATGTGATTGTGAAGAAAGGAATAGTGGACGATGCCATGAGTGAAAGGGTGCGAGGTGCGTGCCAAACGCTGGGATGCAGCGATGGTGAGTGACGCCCCGAAAGTGCGCTTGCACGACACGTTTGCGGACGGGATTCATCGCAGTTGTGGGGGATCACGTGCGCCCAGCCTCTCTTTTCGCGGCAGCGCGAAAGCCTGGCCACGGGAATGCCCGCACGGCCGGCGCTCGCGATTCTCTCTTTCCGGCGCGCGGAACGCGTTTCCACCCCTCAGCGAGAAAAGGTATTGTTCTCGTCAGGGAGAGGGAAACCGGGGCACGGGTCAAAACTGGCGTGCGGAGGGCCGCACGGGCTCTCTCTCTCTGACACCTGCCAGGAACCAAGGAGGTCGGACCCGCAACCTAAACAAAGCTCAGATAGCGGTGACCCGAATAACATTATTGGGATTTACGCTTGATGAGGGTCGCGTTTTGCCGGGTGAGGGTAAGCTTGAAGCGATAGTCAGCTATCCATCGCCGAATAATATCGGTGAGCTGAGGTGCTTTTTGGGGGTGCTAAATTTTTATCGCCAATTTATTCCAGACTGTGTGGCAGTGCAGGCGCCTTTGACGACACTCTTGAGGAAAGGCGAGCGTTGGGCTTGGAGCCAAGAGCAGCAGGCCGCACTGCGTCGCCTCACGAAGTTGCTGGCCAACACGGCTCAGCTGCAGCTACCCTATTTGAACAGGAAGTTTGTGATTCACACAGATGCAAGTGACCTGGGCTTAGGAGCAATTCTGCTTCAGGAGCACGGAGGTTCCCTCCGACCCATTGCGTTCGCGAGCCGTGAGTTGACGCCGACGGAGGGCAACTATTTGCCGACCGAGAAAGAGTGTCTGGCGATAGTTTTTGCTCTCCGTAAGTTGGACTTTTACATAGACGGAGTTGCGTTCGTGATTGAGACTGACCACATGGCGCTCACGTGGTTGAGGCCTTTGAACGAACGAAGTGGCCGCCTGGCGCGTTGGGCATTGATGCTGCTGCAGCGTACGACTTAAACACATCATCAGCGATTTAAAGGCGTGTGAGCTGAGGGATTT